TTCTCTAGCTGCACAAGGTTCTCTCTTCCAAGGAACTTGAAGTGGCCTGACATTTGAGACTTTCCCATATCCCTAGTAGGGAATGAAAGAGTTTTCTAAATTGTTTAAAAAATTGGCTTGGGGTGGATTTTTGGGTTGGGAAGGGCCTCACCCTTCCCCAAGGTGGGGCTTCTAGGAAGCAGAGTCTTCTCCTCCCATGCAATGGGGTGGGGTTGTGATTTCATTATCCCTAAAACTGTCTCCATCACCGGTGTGTCTCTAGTTTTGCCTTGAATCTTTCAATGAGAGCTATTTCACCTGCCTTAGACTTTTCTTCCCTTGTGGGGACTGTTTAAGGGTGCTAACGTCTTTCTTGATGAAATTCTCTACCTGGGGACAGATGCCAAAGCATCCTGCTTGGAATCAGTGCTCTCTTAGGTTCTTCTCTAGTGCCTATCACTGTAGTATACTAGAGCTGAATCAAATGCAGTCTGTTCTGAGCAGCAACCTGGGCAGAGTTAGACCTCAGTCTGGCTGTCCTTATCGTTGTAGAGCGGGAAGGAGAGAGACAGCCCCAATGTAGGGTCTTGAATGCCAGAAGTTCAAGCGTTGCTTGGTTACTGTTGGTGACACTGCCTTCTCTTCTCCCATATGTATTGGAGTCAGTTCTCAGGTTAGGAGTCCCAGCATAAGAATTCTGTTGCTGCAGTGGAGATGGAGTCTGTCATGTTGCAGCAGTGGCTTTGAGAAGGAGTGAAGTGCTAAGCCTAAGCCATGTCCAATAAGCGACCACCAAGCTGATGGGAGTTGCTCTCCTGCAGTGCACTGCTATCTCCTTTCTCAATGCTCTATAGCTGGAAAGACTGGATTCCCCTTGGATCTAGTAGAGGATTCAGATCCCTGGCAGAGGGTGTCCTGTGCTCCACAACCTCATATGTGCCTTAGAGGATTCACGCTATCCAAGTTGTGCCTATTACAGACCACTGATTTTCGCACCAGCTAGCTGTGCAACCAGATAAGCAGTTTAAACCCAGTTTTGGGCTGGAAAGTGAAGGGCAAGTGGGTAGAAGTGCCTTTGAACAGTTTCAAAACCCTTTTGACTTCTCCCCTTTTTGCATTGCTAGCTCCATATGTCAGTCTCCTGCTAGTTTTGCTCTTGAGTTGTTATAGTGGAACACGACTTATGCCTGCTCTGACACTGGCAGAATAACTAGTTTGTCATTATCTTTCTTTGAAAGATTAAAGAGTGGAGTGGTTTGTAGTTTGTTTAAATAAATGTTTAAACTAATTCTCCGGTGTGTTCTGACTCTGTGCATATTCCCACCTCCCCTCCAGGCAGAATCTCAGCTTGGAGCAGGGTCTCCTGTGTTTTCATTCCACCAAGAGGTGTGGGGAAAGTGTGCATGCAGTCAGCTTAGGGGAAGGTTCATTGCTGTGAAAAAGTGGCAAGTTTTGCTTTACTAGGGACATCTACATGAAAAGAGGCTGTGTTCCATGAGACACCTGGTCTCTTGATGCTGCTTCTCTTCCTGACGATGCCATTTTTACCACAGCTCCAATGGTGCCATGTGGGGTATGAGCAGCAGGAAGAGATGGGTCCAAAGGAACAAAATCCTGGTTCTCTTAGAAGAGCTTTTACTAGAGTGTTAAGTCTCCCACAGTCACCTATTCAGTAGTTGTAATAAGTGGCACTGCTGCCAGTTCTGATTATTTATTTGCATTACCACAGCACCTAAGAGCATCAGTCATAGATCAGGGTCCCATTGTGCTGGGTGCTGTAAAAACAGAATATTAAAAACTCTGAGTTTTTAATCAGGGTCTCCTGTATTCAATGGTATCTGTATGCCTGCCTGAGTCTGCAGACAAACTGAAACGATAGCTCAACAAGAGCAGTGAACTGGCCATTGTTGACTCTGAAACATAAAGATGGCAAGCCAATTATCTCCTGGCATAATTCCATTGACTTCAGTGATGTAACCCCAGCAGACAATTTGGTCTACAACTTCAATGTCACCATTAACTATTTAAACTGCTCATCTTTTTCACAGAAACTTGCCATGAGTGTGTTTATCCCACAATCCCAAATTGCCTCCCACAACTTCCCAAGAGCCCCATTATCCCTACCAACTTCCCCTGCTGACTTCTGTGATGCAGATCAGCATTGTTGACACCGTCAGCCTTTGGCACACTGAGAACAGGGTGAGGATCATGTAAAATTGGATTTAACATAAACACATCACAGGGGTTACAATACTGATTTTCTTAAACTAGTTTCGTGTTAAATTAATTTTTAAAATGAACTAATCAGTTCAGATGAATTTCCACTCTCCCCCCTTCCCCATTTTCTTGCTATTTACTCCTCTCCAGCCTTCCTGTGACCTCACTGCTATCCCATAATAATAAAACCAGAAATGGAGTTACTAAGCCATGTGCCCAGCCTCCCATGATCACTCTGCATGTATGTTGAACCCATTTCAGACCCTGTCTCTGGATTTTAATATTTCTTCCTAGGCTGTAAACTCTTCAGTGCTTGCACAGTGCCCAGCACCATCCAGCTTTAACACTAATTGGGGCTTTTGAGCACTACCATAGTGTCCCAAGGGAGGGAGCTTCGCCCACTTATCTTGGGGACAGGAGGTCTCCTATTTCTTTGGGAGACTATTCCACACCTCACAGTCAAGGACTATTTCCAAATATCCAGCCTCTGACTAAGCCTAGTTCAGTCTGGCCCCTGTGTATCTTCCCCAGGCTGTGCTGAGTTGGGGCAGGACCACCATGTGCCTTGAAGAAAAAGTTACTGGGCTGGCTTGTTCATTTTCTCCTCTCGTGAATTACTTGTTCTTCCATTGGTATCCCTACACTGCTTGGGACCCACCTGCTAGGGCTTTGTTAGTACTGAACAACCTGCTACTTACATAGGGCCTAAAGACATCTGCTAGCCTGGATGCTCTCCATGGAAAACTGAGGCTGGAAAGAACCTTGCATCAGAGTCCAAGTTCGTGTACCTGGTAAGTAATCCCTTTGTAACAGTCACCCTGTAGCCTAAAGGCCCTGTCCTAGCTCTAGGAGTCTTTACCATTCCACAGTTGACACTGGAACAAGCACACTTGGGCTGAAAGATGCCTCTCCAAATACTAAGTAAGTGGCTGGTGGTGCATAGCTCCCCTGCTACTATGAGGCCTCATCTGTAAGCTTTCTGCCCCAAGGAATTCCTGTGCTGAAGCTGCATTTTATGGGTCCCGCTCCCCAGTCTGCTCTTCCGATTAAAGAGATGGTATGTCAAACATGGCCCCAAATTAAGGGTTTTGCATGTTTAAAAGCAAAATGTTACTGACCCAAAGTCCAATAGAAACAGTCCGAGGATTTTCCTGAATTCCAGTGGAAACAAGCTAAATAAATCCTCCTGTGGGCTATTGCAGGAGAAGCACAGAATGAGCCTACCTGCTCTGTTTTCATTGTTCAGCTCAAAAACAAACAGGACCGAGCACAAAAAGCAGCTGAAAGAGGGAAGCAGTTCTGGATTCTGCCTCTAGGGACTGTTAGAAACAGAGGGAAGGAAAGTTGTAATTTGTACGTTGTTCTAATGTACTAATGTCATTTATCTTCCCAGTCTCTCTGCAAGGAAACTACCTTCCCTGACTTATCCAAACTACTGTATCATCCCACACAAGGCCTCTCTACTGTAGGAACCGAGAACTCCCTCCCACCTGCTCTTCCCAGAGACAGCCACACAGGCTTGGTGGATGAAACTGGAGAGTTGATCTTTGGGGGCTTTCATGTGCCAGCATCTGCAGCTAAACAGCAGTAGAATTCCAGCCCACTCCCCAGCTGTTTTGAAGGCAGGCGCTTCCTTCAGCACAGTCAGGGTGTTAACATATAAATATCAGGTTTCGGAGTGGTAGCCATGTTAGTCTGTATCAGCAAAAGCAAGGAGGAGTCCTTGTGGCATCTTAGAGCAGGGGCGGGCAAACTTTTTGGTCTGAGGGCTGCATCTGGTTTCCAAAATTGTATGGAGGGTCAATCAGAGGAGGCTGTGCCTCCCCAAATAGCCAGGCATGACCTGGCCCCTGCCCCCTATCCAAACCCCACTGCTTCTTGCCCCTAGGACTCCTGCCCCATCCAACCCCCTGCTCTCTGTCCCTGACTGCCCCTGGACCCCCCACCCTAGCTGCCCCATCCAACCCCTCCTCATTCCTGACTGCCACCCCTCCCTGAGCACCCCCAGACCCTCCACCCCTGACTGCCCCCCCCATCCAGGACCCCTGCCCCATGCAACAACCCCTTTTCCCTGACCACCCCTGAAACACCCACCCCTGACTGCTCCCTGCCACCCCATCCAACCCCTCCTTTCATTCCTGACTGCCCCCCTGGGACCTGTACCCCACCCACCCCTCCTGCTCCCTGTCCCCTGCTGCTGCATCCAACCCCTCCTCTCCTTCCTGACTGCCCCCCCAGGACCCCTGCCCCCATTCAATCCCCCTGTTCCCTGCCCTCTGACCGCCCCGACCCCTATCCACACTCCTGGCTCCTAACCACCACCCTGAACTCCCCTGCCCTTTATCCAACCCCCCCCCCCAGCTCCTTGCCCCCTTATCTCACTGCCTGGAGCACCGGTGGCTGGCTGCACCAGGACAGGCAGCCATGCCGCATAGCACAGAGCACTGGGTCAGGCCGGGCTCTGCAGCTGCGCCCCCAGGAGCTCACAGCCCTACTGCCCAGAGCATTGTGCTGGCGGCACAGTGAGCTGAGGCAGCAGGGGACTAGCCTCCTGGGCCAGGAGCTCAGGGGCTGGGCAGGAGGGTCCCATGGGCCAGATGCAGCCCACAGGCCATAGTTTGCCCACCTCTGCCTCAGAGCCTAACAAATTTATTTGGGCAGAAGCTTTCGTGGGCTAAAACCCACTTCATCAGATGCATGGAGTGAAAAAACCAGTAAGCAGAATTCTTGTGCTATGAATTCTGCTTACTGTTTTTTTCACTCCATGCAGCTGATGAAGTGGGTTTTAGCCCACGAAAGCTTCTGCCCAAATAAATTTGTTAGGCTCTAAGGTGCCACAAGGCCTCCTCATTGTTTATACAAATATCAGTTTGATCTCAGCAGGGAAGGGGTATTTTTGTGTGGCTGGTTCAAGGCTGAGCACCGGCTGTGCCTAACTAAAGGGCTTCTTTCCATCTGTGAGATCTGGATGACCTCTGCCCCACACTGTGTACTACTTCATGTCAGAGGAAAGAGCCCTCAACCTTCCACCCCCACCACCTGCCCATAGCCCCAACCATGATTCTGAGGACCAGCCTATCCATGGTGGTTCTTCCCTTGCTGCTGTCCCACCGACAACCCCATTCCCTACACAAGGGACATCATGGTAATCTCCTCCCACTCACAGCAAGACCCAGCAATCTCTTCCATCAAGAGAACTGGAACTCCTTGTGAAGAGCTGTAGAAGGGGAAGAAATGGGAACCAGCAGCAGTAGGGTAGTGGCCTAAACTGTCATGGACCTATCTGCACACACTCAGGAACCGCTGACTGCAGCTCAAAGTACAAGCACTTTAGTATTCTGTTCATGGGGCCTGAGCTTCTTACTCACGTTACATGGGGATATCTTAAAAGTTAGCAGCCTGCTTGGGGGATGGGAAGAACACAAAGCTTCCTCTAGATGGAAGCCAGTTTGGGAGAGGGAGCTAGGATTCACTGCAGTGTGTCATCCTTAACGTCTCCTTTGTGGTGGTGGTGGGGGTCGGTTCTTGATGGTCTTGCATTTGGGAATATGTCTCTCAGCCACCTTGGGTGCAAAGCGGCGGTTGCAGTGGGGGCAGGAGATATAGTCTGGGTTCTCTACAGGGGGCAGTGGTGGCAGGTCTGAGAGCTTCCCCCCTTTGGAGATCACATGCTGCATCTCACGGGCCTGGCGGAGGGTCCGGATGAAAGACTCATGCTTTTGTCTCCAGTTGTTCTTGGGTGGCTCATTCTGCACAGAAGGGGAAGAGTGATTAGTATAGATGGCAGGAGCTATAACTGGGCTGGCTCCAGGTCCTGCGCCTTTACTCACCATCTTCTCAGAGGGCCCAACCCCATACTCAGCCCTGAACCCACCTCCAGTGCAGCAAACCCCCAGATTGGTACCACTCCTTTAAGGCAGCCAAGACAGATGGTGGTTGTCAAGGGAAGGTATCAGTCACCAGGAGCAGGGGAAAATAGCCACTTAAAGGGAGCCTGCAGAAGTGAGGCCAAGATACACCAGGCAGGGGCTGCTGGAGCTTGGCTGAGGGATGTTAATGTTCCCCTTGCCATTGGTTTGTTTTAACAATAGGCTTTTAGATCAGGTCCCAGCCTGCCCCCCAATAGCAGCCCCAATTATACTGCAGCTCCCCCAACCTAAACACAGCAGACCCCCCCCCTCCCACCACTACCACCAATAAGAGGTTGCCCCCGCTGGGAGCATCCTGGAGTGGGTTGAGCCCCTTTCAGTAGGAGGAGATTCTTCCCTTTGCACGGTGTAAAAGGCCCAGAAATGGCATAAGTCCTGGAAGGATTTTTATAGTGAGGGTGCTGAGAGCCATTAAGCAAAACTGTAAACCCTGTAAATGATGGAAACCACTACAAACCAGCAGGTGCAGCACCCCCTGTTCCAGCACCTATGGGAAGTGGAGGGGGGGTCCTGATCTCCCCCTTGCTGCTGAGAGTGCCCCAGTCAGGATTGCCTAGTTGCTAGTCTTGGCCAGTGGTGGATTAACTGTGCCCAGGAGCCCAGGCCAATTTGGGGGCACCCCAAACCCCTGGCAGAAGCCCGGTTGTCCCAGCAGGAGCCCCAAGCCCAGTTCTGGGGCTGCTGAAGCACAGAAGTGAGGGTGTACCACCCTCATTTCTGTGCTGCCTCAGGGGGTGGGTCTGATCTCCCCACCAAGAGCATCTGTGCAGGGGAAGGACACGTCCTGTCCAGCCCAGCCTGGACTAGGAGCTACCAGCTGGGGTACTCCCAACAGCACGCAGAGATTGGATTTCACAGGGAAAGGCTTATTTCACAGTCCAGGACATGTTTTTCAGTGTCATGAAATTAGTAGGGCCCTACCTATGAGCAAGTTCTTTCATACCCCTTCATTATTTTGGAGATCAGGTGACTATCTCCAGGAAGTTTCAGTGTCCTAAACCAAGCCCCTTAAACCTTCTAATGCTGGATCCTGTCCATGGGCTCATTGCTGGCTTATCCCTTAAAGGTGTCTATATTCTAGTGGGCCTGAATGGAGTGTCAGGAGCATAGTAAGTATTATTAAAACAGATATAATTCCATCCTTCTTAAAGAGGGTTCCAAGGGGGAAGGACTGATCCACCCCCAGGCCAACCAGTTGCCTGGAAGTGCATGTTACCTGGGTGGTGTTTTTGCCCTTCCAGTGCTGATATTGCTCCAGCTCAGTTCCCCTGGCTCTGGCCATGCTTGAATCAAATACTTTCCTCTTGGAGCCTTGGCTTTTGCTGCAAACATACATGTGCTTCTCCAGCCGGAGGTGGAGAAACCTACGCCCACAGAAGCCACACTCTCCCAGCTCTCCCTGCTCCGCGCCAATGGGAGCCTGTGAATGCAACAGTTCTGCTGCAGGGTCTTGTTCTGAGGGGGCTGCTGCAGGTGTACCTTGGCTGTGTTTCATGACCAACTTTGAACAGGAGGCCATGCTCTCCAAAGACATGTGCTCTTGAATTTTGCTGTTGCTGGCCACCAGCCGCCCCTTCTTGAGTCTCTCTATGCCCAGCACATGGGGAAGGTGGGTATTGTTTGGCACAGGCATGGCACCCTCTGGAGACTGCTCCCAATCACAGTCCCCCTCACTGGGCCTGGCTGTAGCCCTGAAAATGTTCCCTCCAGAAAGCCCTGCCGCTTTCCTCTCTTGCATCCTCAGACCCTCTCTCTCCTTTCTCTCTTCCACCTCCACCTGCTGCTTCTCTCTCTGGATCCGCCTGAGCTCCTCCTCTGTTCTCCTCAGCTTCTCCCTGAGGAGGGCCTCTTTCCTTCGGATCTCCTCCTCCAGGCTCTGCCCAGCTGCCTCCAGCCTTTGGATGTAACCCAACTCTGCCCTGCTTGGATGTGTGGCTGACTGCTTAGGCTGCTCTGCTGCCAAAGGAGATGGGAATACAGCTGGTTGGGCCCTGGCTGCTGGCAACTTTCCTCTCTTCTTTGAGCTAGATCTATTGCTGGGAGATTCAGCCATGGGTGGTGAGCTCCTGAGCGGACCTGTGCTGACCACTGGAACACTCTCAGCCTTGCGGTGAAAGACTGGTTTCAGAGGGTAGGACCGGTCCACCCCTTCTCTCCGCCTGGCTGCCCACTTGGAGGGCAAAGTACTGGTCTGGCTGGTGAGATACCTGCTGTGGGGTCCAGCAGAGTAGAAGCCTTCTAGTCCAGAGTCTTGCTGGTTGCTCCCAGAAAAGAGAGAGCAGGAATAACTCCGGCTTTTGCAGATGCAAAGATCCTTCAGTTTTTCCTCCTTGTCACGCAGGAGCTGCTGCTGGAAGTTGTTCTTCAGGTGTTCTAGCTGGGACTGGTGCCCAAGGGCCTTGGGATGGTATCTCTTCTGCCCTGTCAATGGAAGACTGGGAGCTGCCACCATAGAATCCACAGGTGGACACACAGCCAGTTGCAGCTGAGCCATTCAGTGCCTGTGGTAGAACATCGGGGCAAAAAACACATTATAAACATGTTTGTTCCCAAGCTGGGGCTTCCTCCCCCAAAATCAACGCTCTAGAGTAGGAGTGGACAAACGTTTTCCCAGATGTGGCCCTCAGGCCAATAGAAATTGTATGGCAGGCCATGAATGTTCACAAAATTGGGGTTAGGGTGTGCGAGGGGGTGAGGGCTCTGGTTGGGGCTGTGGGCTCCAGGGTTGGGCCAGAAATGAGGAGTTCAGGGTGCAGGAGGGGGCTCCAGGCTGGGGAGTGGGAGGTGAGCGGTGGGGATGGGGATGGGGAATTTGGGGTGTAGGAGGGTGCTCTGGGCTGGGATGGTGGGGTATCATGGCTGGGGCAGGGGTGCAGGCTCCAGCTGGGGGTGCAAGCTCTGGGATGGGGCTGGGGATGAGGGGTTTGGGGTGGAGGAGGGTGCTCCAGGCTGGGATCAAGGGGTTCAGAGGGGGATCAGGGCTGGGCTGCGCAGAGGCTCAGGGGTGCAAGAGGCTCCCGGAAGCAACGGCATGTCCCTTCTCCGGCTCCTATGCGAAGGCATGGCCAGCCTGCTCTGCATGCTGCCCCATCTGCTGGCACCGCCCCTGCAGCTCCCACTGGAGCGCCGGAGGGGGCCATTGGAGCCGGGGGGGGCATACCACGGCTTCCAGGAGCCGCATGGAGCAGCCCCTGACCCTGCGACCCAGCAAGAGCTCGAGGGCTGGTTTAAAATGACTGACGGGCCAGATCTGGCCTGCGGGCCATAGTTTGCCCACCCCTGCTCTAGAGGCGGCGGCCTGAACAGCCCAAAGGACATTAATGGAGCTTTGGAGAGCTTGTGTGATTACTCTGCCCTCTGTGAGCCTTCCCTGAGGTGCAGGGCCTCTTTGAAGGCCTCTCCTGGTTTTACCTGTGGAATTCTCTAATGCAGTTGGAAATAAATTGCTTCTTTCTCTGCCTGTGCAATGTCTTGCTACGAAAGCAGCAGGAATGTGCTCAGCCAGCAGGGAAGTCTATTGCCCAAAAATATCTGTTAAGTCCCCTCCATGGTTCCTCCCTTTAGAATTTGCAACACCAGCTAGAGAAGCAAGTGTTCTTTGGATTCTGGCAACACTGATTCTTATATGCTACAGGTAGAGTCAACATACAGAAACCTCCAGAAGCAGGTTACCCTGCTCCTGCAGCATGCTCTCCTACAGCACACAGCCTGAACAAATAACTTGAGGTTCCTATAGGGCAAGGCCAATTATACACCATCACAAGCATATATGGAGCTTTACAAACCAGCACAAAGCCACTGCCCTTAGGAGTGTAATCTAAGCTAAGAGTACAGCAGGGGATGATGAGGACATATAGGCTTTGGGCTGAGATATGCTCATGTAAAGGTCACATACTATTTGGTGGGTTTTTGATGCGGATTTATTTCCGGTCTAATCCCCAGCTGCTGAGAAGGCTGCTAGAATTCCAGTGGCACGCCCACTGACTGCAACAACTTTCAGGTAGGTACTGGTGGCAGTGTACCCTTTGCTACAACTTAGCTCTGAAGAAGTCATGTGCTCTTAAAAATTGTACTTGTAGCACTATGATTGGGGTGGGTGTACAAACATCCAACATTTGCTTCATGGCATCAAGTTTTACCAATTTGGACAAGCGGTTACAGAAGTTTTTAATTTGAATTCAAAACAATTGTTGAACAGCTGATTGGTGGAAAGGGACTGTGAGAGCAGCAGTGATTTAGCCAATTAAGGGATAAAACAAGTAATAAGAGAGGAAGCTCTTAACTGGGCATTTAATTGGGTTCTAAGCGGGCAAGTGTCTGCGGTAACCTGCAAGCTTCAGCTATCTTGGAACCCAGTTTTACCTTCTAATTATTGTGCCTTTGATAGGGGCACTGTAAGTTCTGTTGTGTTTTAAATTAAAACACTGGAGCTGCAAGGGGTCAGCTGGGTTCTGAAGTCAGTCAGCACTGTTTGTGGTCCTGTTTTTGTGATCAAATGTCTATTCCATCAAGACCAGGAAATTGAGGCTATAGCCTTCTGGTGACATTAGAACTCACCAAACTCTCTCTAAGTGGCACATTGCAAACAATGCTGAGAATGGGGAAGGTTTGCAGGGACTCTGTCATATTAAACAGCATTTATTATTATCACACACACACTTTTCCTTATAATAACCAACAGCCCCTAAAGCTGAATGAATGTTGACAGCACCTGCAAAGTGCAGTTGATGCGGAGAATTGTTTCCTTTATTGCCCTTCTCTCAGCCCAGACAGTGAAAATCGAGGAGGTCACGTTCCTTGGTGGGGTATTTCCGTGTCCCAGACGCGGAGGCAGGCAGCGTTGTCAGGCAGAGACAAGTCACGGCTTGCTCCGCGAGAGGCGGCTGCTGAGCCGAGACTTGAACCAGGCCCTTAAGTCAAGAACCCTTCCTCCTTTTCGCGTGGGGAAGGCCCGGCCCGGCCCCTCTCGGGGTCTGTTATCCCCAGGTCAGCGAAAGGGTGTTGGGAGGTGCTCGGGCACCCCACGGAACGCCCTCCCCGGCCCCCGGCGAGCGAGGCTGTCCAGATACGCTCCGACACCCCGGCAGCCAACCCCCGCCCTGACTCCCGCCCTGGGAAAGGTCCCCCACGGGCGGGGTGCTGCCCTCACGCACCCCCAGGGAAACAAACGCCCCGTGACCGCCGTCCTCACCTGGGCCTCCAGCCGCGCTGGGCGGCTGCGGGCGCTGCGCACTGACTGTTTGCTACTGTTGCCTGGAAACCAGCACGCCAACGCTATCTCCAGCGTCGCTCTAGCCTCCCGCCGAGTCGGCCGCTCTGGCACTCGGCTCCGCTCTATGGTCTGGGGCGGCTCTGTTCCCGGCTCTATGACCCGACGGCGGCAAAAGCTGGCGCGCGCCACAGCGGTTGGGCGGTGCTAGTTCTCGCTCTGGCGGCGGGTCCCCGGCGGGTAAGTCCGGCGGGACCCGCGCCCGAAGGGCTCCGACCCGTCTCCCAGCCCTGGTGCTTTATTCGTGAAGTTGCGGATGGGGACAGGTCGTGGGCGGAGCCGGGACGCCTGCCCGAGGGGGCTGGCGGAGGCGTGACCCCGCCCCCAGGGCACGGCGGGGAGCCGGGGGCAGCTCTACCTGCCTGCTGGGAGCGCCGAGTGGCTGCTCAGTGGCTCCTCCTTGGGCATGGGTCCTGGGACTTTAAGCTCCAAATAAGGCGCGGTTCCGGCCCGCCTGCTCTCCCCCACCCTCCGGTCACTCCCTCTCTCCCGAGCCTCGTAATGCAGCCTCAGGGGGGCCCTGCGGGAAGCCCGTCTTGCCCGCGTGGGTGGGGAGGGCGGCAGCGGCATCCCCCTGGATCTCTGCTAATAGTCGCCGCTTTGTTTTTGTACCAGGCCTGCGTCACTATGGCTGAGGGCGACAGCCTCATCTCTGTGGATTATGAAGTCTTTGGGAAGGTCCAAGGAGTGTTCTTCCGCAAGCACACCCAGGTGTGTCTGCTGCAAATGTTGGAGCAGAGGGCGAGGCTGGCAGCTCAGCCAGGATGGGGCTGCTCAGGCACCTTGATCTAGGCACCATTGGGCGCAGGCTGTACTGAACTGGCATCTGCATTTGAATCTCAGCACAAGCTGGGCCTGAGCTGCTTTTCCCAAGTTGGCATTGGCCCTGTCTGCCCTGTAGCTGCTTATGTTTCCCCCTACTGCTCTTCTATGTTTTCTCCTTTTGGGGTAGCTGCAGGAGTCACCAGTCTTGCCTTCTGGATCCATCATTTTTGGGGGGAGAGGAGTGGGGTGGTCCAGATGTTGGGTTGTGACTTGCTGAGGACTTGTCACACTAAATAAGTACAGCCCATTAAATTCCAGCTGCTGGAGTAAGAGTATTGCCTTGGGACTGGAGTGGTCTAGCTATTGCTGACCCTCCTAGAGAACAAAATCTGAGTTAAATTTTGTACTTTAATGAAAAACATTAACATTCAAGGCCAGTCTTTTCCTTTTGGAACCTCCCAGCCTGGGGAGTCACCTTACCCTCTTCCTGGTCAGCCAACATTCTGTTGTGATCTCCAAATGGTCTCCATCACAGACTCTTTCCATCAAAGGTCCCAGAGGCTTTTGTGAGGCTGCTGGGTCATTTGTAAGTAATTCAGCTGAGACTGAGTCACTAGCATCATGGCTTTTATAGCCACAGCTGTGTTTTGTTTGGAATCTCTTGACACTGCCTATTGCCAGTGACACCTGGATTGTATTCCCTAGGGGTAACTCAAGGGATGTATTGCAGGAGCTGTTTTCAATGTAAAGGTGTTACAATGGATAACTGGATTAATCCCAAAATACATTCTGTCTGGCTATTCCATGGGATCTCTCTTATCAATGGCTTTCCCATGGTCCTCCCTGGGGACTGATTCCTATAAAAAGATGTCAGTTTGTGGTCTGCCTTCAATTCAGATTAATCCCATCTTCATCTCCCATTTCCTTTCTAGGCTGAGGGTAAGAAGCTGGGGGTGGTTGGCTGGGTCCAAAACACCGAAGACGGCACTGTGCAAGGACAAATCCAAGGTCCCAGTGTCAAGGTACGGCAGCTGCAGGAATGGCTCAGGAAGACAGGAAGCCCCAAATCCCACATCGACCGAGCAGAATTCCGCAATGAGAAGAAGATTGTTGCACTGGAGTACAGGAACTTCAGTATTGTGAAATAACTAGACAGAAAGCACTGAGAAGGGAGTTGAGCTCTCAAAAACTTCCCCACCAACCTTTACTTGTTCAGTCAGATAGTGTCCAAATACAGAGAGCCCTTAGTTTTATCTTGTTACTCTTCTAATTTATTGTCTGTTTGTTATACTATTTAACCCTGAACCTTCCTGAATCCCATGGGCAGGAAAACAGGCAGACTAGAGGGTGAGACTGCCTTTAATAAAGGGATTGTTTGGAAACCCAACCTCTCATATCTGAATTTATTTGTAACCATTCAAACTCATTTTGCATTTTAGAGAACACACAGTCAGTATAGTATCCCATCTACTTCACAGAAGTCACATAACCAGCCTCGGAATTGATGCCTTAGAGGGCAGAACCATGGAATTTTGGCTTCTTCTAATACTAAATACTATTAAAGAATCATTTGCCTCTCTTTATTTTTTAAATTTCCAGTTCTCAGAAACATCTGTTTTATCTTCCATCCAGCAATGACTTGTAGTTGGCAGTTTCTGTTCTTTTGGGTGCCTTGTGTGTACTTCACACCAGCATCATTGATGTTTTTGGGTGATAGTTGGCCAAGCTGGGGGAAAGCTTTTAGTGGTACTGCAACAACACCACCTGCAAGGGATATTGCTGCTGCTGCTTGTGATGTTTTTCAAAATTTATGAATGAATATAATAGGGCTGGTGCAAGACCAAAAGCCCTAGAACTTGAAGTCTTCTCTGTCCCCTCAGATTGGTAGAGTAGTAGCACAGCATGCCTTGCTGCTAATTCCTAGGAGGGAGAGGAGAATTCAGTCTGTGTAGCCAATTCAGTCTTTAGGCTCTATATTGAGACTGCCAATAAAGTGGTTGATTAAAACCAATTGTAGTAGTGGTGGTTTTGTCATGTGGGTACTTGGCTATAAGCAGGTAGACCTACCAACTCCTTTCACAGGTGGAGCTGCCATAATGGGTTTGAAATAGGACCAGCTTTTTGGGTTACCATATTGTTATTATTTGGCATGCATCCGTGTGCAATCATGGTATGCCATTATTATTACTTCATTCAGTTACGCTGAAACCTAAGATTTTTTTTGTCCCATTTGCAGTAAACTTAACCTGCCCACTACTTTGTGTGAGCCCAGATTGCTGTGTGGTAGACCCTGTATGCTGCCGCTCACCGAGATTTTAATACGCTACCATTTGAGGCACGCCAGCATAGAGGCAGTTGGGCCTCCAGTCAGTGTTAACATAGGGAGAGGAAGGAGAAGTGAATGGGGAATGTAGGAGGAATGTGCTTCTGGCCCTATATGGCTAGTGACCTCCAACCCATCTGCACCCTCAAGGGAACATCCTGTCTGCTTACTAGATATTTATATGGCATCAGTCACCATCCCATTTTAACCCCAACCTAATTTCTCATGCTACCCCTTCCCTTGTCTGTGTCTGCTCAGCTTTCCCAGAGGCACTGCTGCTGCATTCATGAGACTGTTCAGGGGATGGTAGGGGAATCAAAGTGGGCAGCCTTGGACACACACCTTGGCCATGCCCCACTGAACAAAACTGACAATATGGTGCGTTTGCCCACCACAGAGGACGGAGCCAGTGGGCGGTAATCAACTGACAAAATAAGACAGAAGGGGCCACCCTCAAGAAAGACTACAACTCCCAGCATGCACTGAATCATGTTGCAATGTATGTTGGGAATTGTAGTCACCTCCGGCCTGCCATTGTTTTTCCCGCGGCTCCACATATCTTCACTGCGCATGTGCCATAAGGGTTTCCTCTCGCCGCCTTTGTTCCCTCGAACTGGGTCTGGGACGGCTACCTTGCGAGCCGAAGAGCTGCGGCGGGCGGTTGGTCTGTCTCGCGCCCCGGCCTTTGGTGTGGAGGAGGCCCCTCCCCCCTCAACGGGTTCTGTGGGACTGTGCGGGGACATTTTAATTTAGTCACCAAAATGCAGCTGCCTCTCTGAGCTGGTATAGTGGCGGAGGGGCTGGGAGGCCCCTGTTTGGCATTGGCAAGGGCCGGGCCAGCACAGGTCCTTCACGCTGCTGCGGCAGGGGAACTGTCGCTTGTAAGTTGCTAGACTTCATCCCTGGGGTGGCTGAACTGTTTCCCTTCCTTTCCTGCCTGGCATTCGGGGCAGTGCCCTAGCGAAACTGGGCACCAAACTCTCCCAGCAGAGAGCCATAGCTGTAACGTGCGTCACACGGGCACCTGCGTGGCACCTTGGTCTCAGTGTGGACCTGTTGCAGGTGCTGGGGCGAGTGACCTAGGCCTGCCCAAACCAAAAAGCCAGTTGGTCATAGCCTGTAGCGTGGACAGGGCCTAACTGATTGCACTGACGCCTGTGACTAGGCTAAATCCTGGGATCTGGGCCATGATTGAAGTGGATTGAAATAGGAAGGGGAGCACTTGCTGTACCCGCCAAAGAGGAAGGGAGCTAAGCGGGAATGCTGCTCCTCAAGGAAGAGAAAGGAGAGGGGCTTCCTTCTGCTTTTAGCTCAGGAGAGGGAGCTGTGCTTCCCCAATCCCCTTCTCTCTAACCTGTAGATGTGAGATTCAAGGGAAAAGTATACATCCTGCTAAACACCACAGGTGATGAATGAATCAATGTGGTATAAAATAATCATAATAGAAAGAAAAGCTTAATTTATTAGACCTCCCACCACCACCTTTGAGCCAGCCCATGTGCCAGTGGGGTTTTATGGGAACTGCATCTTCCCAGCTGGATGCATGTTGGAGTGTTTCCAAGGATAGATGCTGCCTGGCCATGGGGAGGATGGACATCCGGAGTCCACTTGAAAGCAAACAGCAAAATAAGTTTATTGGATGACAAGATGTTAAGAGGGCTCTGAGCCTCGCTTTTGGTGGCATTGGGTACCTATTGCTGAAGTTACTGGCAACTGGTGCTTTCCCCGTGCAGGTCATTGATAGCTTGGTTTTGGTTTGTGTGTTTGGATTTTCTTTTAGGAAGTATGGGAGTAGGGAAAGGAGTATAGTGTTAATAAGGATCATGAAAATGGGGGCACTTTTTATTTTTTATTGTTGCACTTTCATGCCTAGGGCACTGGCTGATGCCTGGTCATAGCCAGGGCAGGGAAAGTGAGCACAGAAAAACGCTCTGAATACCAGGAAAAAATTAAGGCATTCATGGAGGCAAAATAAACTTTTTAAAATGGTAACTTTTTATCCAGTAAATGTAAGAGATTTTCAAACTCTGAGCTTTTACTCTTTGTCCCTTTGTTTTTTTTTTACAGGGGTCTATTTCAAAGGAAGAGGAATGATATTCCTGAAATTTCTTGGGTTTCTCACCTTTCTGCTTTTGCCATGATCAAATGTTTGGTGGAAGATGTACGCACCAGGTTACGCTCTGGAGTGGCCATCAACTCACTGGCCCAGTGTGTTGAAGAGCTTGTCCTCAATAGCATTGATGCTAAAGCAACATGCGTGGCCATACGGGTGGATTTGGAAACTTTCAAGGTCCAAGTGGTGGACAATGGCTCTGGGATGGGGAGAGAGGACCTAAATAAAGTGGGTAATCGATATTTCACTAGTAAGTGCAATTCAGTGGAGGATTTAGAGAATCTGAAGTTCTATGGTTTCCGAGGGGAAGCTGTGGCCAGCATAGCAAATATGGCCAGCATAGTGGAAATTTCATCCAAGACCAACAATACAGTGAAAACCTTTATGAAACTGTTTCAGAATGGGAAAGCACTGGAAGTCTGTGAGGCTGAATTGACTAGACCAAGTGGTGGAACAACAGTGACTGTGTATAACCTGTTCCACCAGTTACCAGTGAGGAAAAAGTGCATGGATCCCATGCTGGAATTTGAGAGGGTGAGGCAGAAGATAGAGGCTCTTTCTCTCATACATCCTTCCATCTCATTTTCCTTAAGAAATGATGCTTCCTGTTCTATGATGCTTCATCTACCAAAGACAAAAGATATGTGTTCCCGTTTTTGTCAGATTTATGGACTGGGAAGAACACAGAAATTACGAAAAATAAATTATACATCTGGGGAGTTTGAGTTAAGTGGCTATATCAGTTCTGAAGGGCATTACAATAAAAATATGCAGTTTTTGTTTGTGAATAATAGACTGGTTTTAAAAACAAGATTGCATAAACTCATGGACTTTTTATTAAGGAAAGAAAGTGTAATTTGCAAGGCAAAAGGTGGCCCTGCCAACAGACAAATGAGTTCAAGTCCTGTTCGGCATCGTGGCCCAGAGCTCTATGGAATCTTTGTTATCAATGTGAAGTGTCCTTACTGTGAATATGATGTGTGTCTGGAACCTGCAAAAACTCTGATAGAATTCCGCAATTGGGATGCTCTTTTAGCTTGCATTGAGGAAGGAGTGAAAACATTTTTAAAACAAGAACACTTATTTGTTGAACTGTCTGGTGAAGACATAAAAGAATTTAATGAAGACAATGGCTTTAGTTTGTACAGGACCGGAACTCTGCATACTGCACTCTCTGAAGTAAAGAGCATACAAGACAATTTTAAGAAAACATGTGATGATATTGTAGATTCCTATGAAACTTTTAATTTGCAATCAAAAGCTGTCAAAAGAAAAGTGACTATTCAGGAAAAGTCTTCAGATCTCATAGGTTCAAATGGTAATGCTGGAGAAAAGGAAGTCTCCCCAGGTCTGATCATTGCTGAACCAGCTGACGCAGCGAGTCCTCTGCTCAACAAAGAAGGCACCAATTCTGATTTCTCAGAATCAGATATCTCAGAACAAGAGCCAAAAGAGTTCAGCAATCCCAAAATGGTGTTTGTGAGCCGCAAGTCTTCAGAAAATCTCTATGGGGAGTCCAGGTCAGAAAGAGTAGAAATAGACAGTTATGCTAAAATGCCACATTGTACTGAGAATTGTGTGGAAGATGCAAAAACACAGGAGGACAGCGCAGCTCAGAAAAGCAGCATCAACATTGCCTTTGGAAATGGTGTCACTCAGGGGCAGCATGAGAGAGTTGAAGATACAGCTGATGGACCAGAACTTCTTTGGGGGAGAGTATTGATGGGAATGTCTGATGTGATGAAAGAAGACAGTAGAAAAAATAAAGGGCCAAATAATGATGGTGGAGGAAAGGTTGTTAGATCTGTACCACTGAAGTTGTGTTCCACAGGCCTTATAACTCATGTGATGCAAAATCAGCCACCGCGTGAACAAACTGAAATGAATTGCTCATTAAACATGCATTCTAAACCTGGTCCTGTAAGTGCCAAGGACATATTTGGAAACAAGATGAGCTTTTCAGTTCAGAGTCTAAATGTTCAGGATATTTCTAGTATTTTAAATAAAGAGTATACTACACTACCCAATAGAGAAGTATGCAGAGCATATGCATATGAGTGGTTAGAAAATGAGACTGTATCAGGCCAGAAGAATGAGGAGGTAGCTTCCATTACTGCACGAGGTAGAAGGGAGTGTGTAACATCACACACTAGAGAGTTGCTTCCCGTCACTTCCTTGAGTTTTCCTCATAATGAACATAATCCAAGCAACAGAAGGCAAATGGTTGAGCTATCTGTTACGCCCAGAACTCAAGCCTATAAGAAGCTGAGTTTGTCCATACAGTTGGGGTCTTTAGAGCGATTCAGGAGACATTATGGGAAGGTCAGGAGTGTTCCATCAGTATCTATTCCAGAGAAGAGGAGTGAATTTGAACCTCCAGATGTTCTTGGTTCTCTAGCTGATCTTGACAGCTTGAAGAATCAGAATAACAATTTTGAATGTGTTAACATTTGTGAAACTCAAGTTCTGGAACATGCTGATTGTAATAATAGTTGCCAAGCTGGTTGCCTCCTTTCCTTGGAGAGGTCTCAGTTCTGTGGGAAAGAAACTTTGTTAGACAGAAAAGCTCCTTGCGTGAGAGAGAGTCCTATGACATTGACTGACTACTCTCAAATAAGAAGAAAAGACCTAAGCAGCAGTAGATTACTGGGATCACTAGCTTCTAAACTGTCCAGAATGAAGGGTGACCACAAGGAAGTTTTAGCTACAGAAGTTGTGGGACAAGTTGATGAACAATTCCAAACAGATTCAAGCAGAAAAGGTGACACATTGCATCTTTTGTCTCAAACTGATGATTTTTTGCAGAGCTCTTATCAAATGTGCCAAAGCACCTCACAAGAAGCAGGGATAGACGATTGCATCCTTGCGTCTGCCTCTGATGAGCAGGATGCTCCCTCCAAAATGTATAGTACAAGAGGAGGGACCATGGAAAATGCTCTGAACCAGTCACTGCTCATCAACACAGATGGGGAGTACATGGCCCCCACAAGCAGTGGTTTGGCATTACAAAGTGAAAAGTGTTATTCTGAAGACATCTGTAAAGATGGAAAGATTGTGGCTGTATCTTCAAAGCAGACTTCAGAAGCCACTGAGCTTTCCAGTGTAACTTTTTCAAGTAGTTTGGAAGTACTTGGAGATGTTAAAAATGCAGTTCAGTCTAAAAATGAGGAATCAATATTGTGTTCTGTCTGGATGCAACACTTTGATGTTTCACTGGGTAAGATGGTATACGTCAATAAAATGACTGGACTAAGCACCTACAGTACTCCTCCAACTGAAGAACTTCAGGCTGCTTGTACTAAAGATATAACTACAATGGCTGTGAATGTTGTCTTACAGAGTGGTAAGTACAGGATGTTTAATTTTGTTGCAAGGAAAGAGTGATGCAGATAGTTTGGGTCCTCCTAGCAGTGTAAAACGCTCTTTATGGCAATGCCTGCAATTTCCACACTGAAATAACTATTGTGTCACATGAATTAGTTCTGTAGAAAACAGGAAAATGTTGATGGCAATATGGAAATAGTACAGTAGATGCACATTTTGAAAAAGGTATGAAAATAGCATACTGCTAGCAGATAACCACCCGGTGTCACCCTGCATCATGCTCTGAGAATTCTCATGATCATGACCCATTTTGTCGTGTATAAAGTGAGAGACATATTTGAAAGTAAGGGTACTGGATAATCACGGCATTTATGAACCTCCTGCCTTGGGCAGTCATGTTCCTAAGGACATTTTGATACCATCAATACAAGAGACCAATATCAAGCTGTAAAAATCAGGTTTTGTTCAACTCTTTTACTGGATTTACATCGAAAGATAAATACTAAATATCTACAGTATGAAAACAAGTTCTCTAGTACTGCTGGAATCAAAAATTACATTGTTTCTGTAAGATGGTTGTTGCCAATAGGAGCTCCAAAAATTCAAAATTTTAATTTCAATTTTTATTTTCAAATACATTCCTCAGTTAATTTCTGATTAGAAGCATGTCTTACCATGAATTCTATCAGAATCTTGTGCTGAGCAAAAGGGGCAGTTTCTTGCAACAGTAACTATCAAGCTCTCTTAGGGCAGAGGTGCTTCTGAGTGCTATTTTGAAACGACACAGAGTGATTCTGGGACCTAGCCTGATAATGCACATAACACGTCTGGATTAATAAACCAGTCTCTGTGATTGGAACCTCATGATACCAGCTTATGATTTCATAGCCAATAGAGTAAGTTCATGTTCAGTATTCAAGCATAAGTAGAGTGAGAAAGCCAAGACAGTGCAATGTTCAGGCTTTATACCTTTATCCACTTATATCATACGCACATCTATCAAGCACTTCCTGAAGGTAGAGTTCTCTAAGTTCCTAAACATCACCATATACATTAACATACTATAATATCTCCTACCGGGAAGCTATTGTAACATCTGTTTTGTTTAGTTTAGTTGAGAGAGCAAAATTAAACATGAATATTGTAACTTGCTTATGTATTTAACATTCTGTTACACTGCCTTAAAGTCTATATAATCATATATAAAAATCAACTTTTTTTTACTAGCTTCCTTGGGAACTAGGGTATTTTCCTGTTCATTTGGGAAGGTAGTTATTTCACACCTTCATTTTATACAAAGTCTTATGTATTCCTTTCAGGTTATTTGATATTGGAGCAAATGCGAGTCTTTCTTTTGACAACAGGAGTTTGCCTTGTACTTGGTTCTTCTGGTGCCATGGTGTTTTGAGGGTCTGTTCTGATATCTATCAGTTGCTCATTATCCCATGTTCCTTCCATTTCCTGGAGATTTGGGTTACTTTTCGTAATAATCCTGATAGCAGAGCGGGATTGTAGTATACTGACTGAAACATTCCTGGATGGGTTGAAACAGATTGGCGATCTAACCCTGATCCCTCATGTGGCCTCTCTGACTTGTATTTCCTTATTAGTAAACTAAGTATTAAGATGAGTGGCCGTAGATTGTCAGTGCTGGCACGCCTGAATGTAGGGTAGGGAATGGGTATTTTGGGACCTGGCAGGCTTTACTGTGGCCCTTTCTGTTCTTTCAGAATAACCCATTTCAGTTGTGGTAGTTTTGGAAATAATCCTTGTTGATTAAAGCAGCAACATACTCTTAATGAGCTCTGCCTTTGAGACGCTCCAGTAGTGTCAGCCATCCTAAAAGTATTCATTGCTTTAATGTCTATGCAAGTACAGGGTACACCACCCCTCCCTAACACAGCACTTATGTACGTAGCCGGGGCCAAAGAGGAGGCAAACCACACCAGGGTTTGAAAACCTCTATTACTCTCACTAAAGAGCATAAACTAGTTACTGTTCATCAGTCTCACATCTATGGAAAGTCATTCAATAGTCTGATGGTATGAGATTGGTCAAGATGTGGACCCTGCAGAGACCACAGGTGTGATGGAATAAATGAAGTTAAAGAACACAAAGAGTGTTCAGAGTTTGAAACATGTAGTGCTCTGCTTTAGCCTAATTCTAAATCGTATCTACATTTCTGTTTCAGCTTCATGTACGCACTTGTGTGCAGTCCACGTTTTCCAGTTCAGCTGCATGTAGGCACTTTTGTGCAGTCCACATTTTCCTTTGCTCCATCACTTTGTTTTTCTCCTTTCTGCATATATGAGAAGCACTATACCCAACTCCTTCAAGCATAGTCTCTCTGTAAATGATGATGATTTATACTACATAAATGTATCTTCTATCTAGAAGGATCCCAAAGTGCTCTGCAAACTGACTTAGAGGAATCTCTTCATCCAACACGGAAATGCAGCCTTCCCTAAATGGGACAGGGGAATGCAGCAGCACAGCATTAGCAGCAACAGTATAGAGCAATTTAGGATCGAAAGTGAAGGAGAATCCTGTATCCAGTTGAAACCACAGCAGGAATTCAAATTATTTATCCAAGACAACCCCATGTCTTATGAAAAATAATAATCATAAGTGCTCAAGAACTTTGTTTGTCTCATCTCTGAACATTAGACACCATGCTGGGTTATTGGTTCAGCACGGATGTGGATGGAAGAGCCCCACCTATTAAATCACCAGCACTTCTTTTTGCAGCCCCAGAATATTCCCTTAAGTACTAATCAGGCCTAATTTAATTTGTGAGATCTTATAAGAGCCCAGCTTGAGAAGCGTATACACTATGGGTCAGATTTTTGAAGGTATTTAGTAGGGCTGTCAATTAATCACAGTTAACTCACGCGATTAACTCAAAAAAATTAGTCATGATTAATCGCAATGTTAATCGCACTGTTAAACAATAGAATACCAATTGAAATTTATTAAATATTTTGGATGGTTTTTTACATTTTCATATTTATTGTATTCAGTGTTTTAATTGAAATAAAAAAGTGTACAAAAACAAAATAACGTAAAACTTCAGAGAGTACAAGTCCACTCAATCCTCCTTGTTCAGCCAATCACTAAGATAAACAAGTTTGTTTACATTTACAGGACATAATGCTTCCGTCTTCTTAGAATCATAGAAAATTAGGGTTGGAAGAGACCTCAGGAGTTCATCTAGTCCAATCCCCTGCTCAAAGCAGGACCAACCTTAACTAAATCATCCCAGCCAGGACTTTGCCAAGCCGGGCCTTAAAAACCTCTAAGGATGAAGGTTCCACCACCTCCCTAGGTAACCCATTCCTGTGCCTCACCACCCTCCCAGTGAAATAGTTTTTCCAAATATCTAACCTAGGCCTCCCCACTGCAACTTGAGACCATTGCTCCTTGTTCTGTCATCTGCCAACACTGAGAACAGCCTAGCTCCATACACTTTGGAACCCTGCTCCAGGTAGTTGAAGGCTGCTGTCAAATCCCCCCTCTCTCTTCTCTTTTACAGACTAAATAAGCCCAGTTCCCTCAGCCTCTCCTCAGAAGTCATGTGACCCAGCCCCCTAATCATTTTTGTTGCCCTCCACTGAACTCTCTCCAATTTGTCCACATTCTTTCTGTAGTGAGGGGCCCAAAACTGGACGCAATAATCCAGATGTGGCCTCACCAGTACGAAATAGAGGGGAATAATCACTTTTCTCGATCTGCTGGCAATACTCTTACTTTTGTAGCTGGCATTGCAAGGTATTTGCATACCAGATATGCTAAATATTCGTTTGCCCCTTTGTGCTTCAGCCACCATTCCAGAGGACATGCTTCCACAAATAAAAATGCGTTAATTAAATTTGTGACTGAACTCCTTGTGGGAGAATTGTATGTCCCCTGTTTTTATGTCCCCCCTCTTTTACCTGCATTCTGCCATCTATTTCATGTAATAGCCATCTCAGATAATGCCTCAGCACATGTGGTTCATTTTAAGAGCACTTTCACTGCAGATTTCACAAAATGCAAAGAAGGTACCAATGTGAGATTTCTAAAGATTGCTACAGATTCGACCCAAGATTTAAGAATCTGAAGTGCCTTCCAAAATCTGATCGGGATGGGTTGTGGAGCATGCTTTCAGAAGTCTTAAAAGAGCAACACTCCAATGCAGAAACTACAGAACCTGAACCACCAAAAAAGAAAATCAACTTTCTGCTCGTGGCATCTGACTCAGGTAATGAAAATGAACATGCATCGGTCCACACTGCTTTGGGTTATTATCAAGTAGAACCCGTCATCAGCATGGACGCATGTGCCCTGGAAGGGTGGTTGAAGCATGAAGGGACATATGAATCTTTAGCACATCTGGCGCATAAATATCTTGCGATGCCAGCTGCGACAGTGCCATGAGAACGCCTGTTCTCACTTTCAGGTGATATAAACAAGAAGCGGGCAGCATTATCTTCTGCAAATGTAAACAAACTTGTTTGTCTGAGTGATTGGCTGAACAAGAAGTAGGACTGAGTGGACTTCCAGGCACTAAAATTTTACATTGTTTTATTTTTGAATGTAGTTTATTTTGTACATAATTCTACATTTGTAAGTTCAACTTTGATAGAGAGATTGCACTACAGTACTTGTATTAGATGAATTGAAAAATACTATTGCTTTTGTTTGTATATAGTGCAAACACTTGTAATCAAAAATAAATATTAAGTGAGCACTGTACGCTTTGTATTCTGTGTTGTAATTGAAATCAATGTATTTGAAAATGTAGAACCATCCAAAAATATTTAAATAAATGGTATTCTATTATTGTTTAATGGTGTGATTAATCACGTGATTAATCGTGATTAAGTTTTTGAATCATGCAATTAATAGTGATTAATTTTTTTAATCACTTGACAGCCCTAGTAGTTAGTTGCTTAAAGATGCAAATCAGTGGGAGTTAGGCATCTGGTGGTTTTGAAAATCCCACTAGGCACCTATCTGCATCTTTCAGTACCTAAATACCTTTAAAAATCTGGCCTGCATCTCTGTGTCTATCAGTTTCTCTTTGTAAAAATATTTACATATATTTCAGAAAAAGGACACAATATAACCATGCACTGTGTGTGTTTAGTATTCACTTCATTTTGCACAGAAATGTGTTGTATTACAAATATACTTCTTTCTGTGTTCAATGTTTCAGTCTTCGCTCATATCCTTCATTAAAACACACCTCTTCTGCCAAGCCAGCTAATATTCTCCCAGTCACATTAGAAGTTAGGTTATTAGGTACTTACATTAATTTATTTTAAATGAAGTTCCCTATACTAGCTTCTGATCATTCAGAGCACTGTGTTATTATTCTTCATTGCTGACTTCTAGTTCTATGGGTCAGGAATAATATCTTCATTGTTTGTACAGAACTGCGCACACTATAATAATTTAGTTAATAAAAATATGAAGAACGAGGCTCTAGAGATGTTTGAAACTTTGTGTCCGTTAAATTTGCAGCAGTAAATTTTTGTTATGTGTTTAGGGTTTCAGTGCAGGTGCCATCCTTTTAGAAGTGAGCTTGTTCTACCCTTCCTTCCTAGACCTCGGGAAGAGAGGATTCTGGCAAGCCAGGATTTCAGAGGTAGGGTCATTTTGCCAGGACATAGAGTACAGTGAAAAACAAACCAAAGAACTCTGCCAGATGTCCTGACAGGAACCCAGACTTACTCAAGGTCTGTTAACAATGGGACTCTGTGAGTCATCTCATATGTGGAATTGGAAAAAAATCCTGCAGGGTTGAAGTCTATTAGAGAGTGTTTATATTTACAAGATGATGTTCCCAGTTCTCTGTAAAATCATGCTAATAGTTTAAAGAGCAATTATCTAATCCCCTTGTCTGTCCTCACATTCCAGTCTGAGTGTAGAAATTAGTTTAGTCCTTGGGACTCTTTCCCAAGAAAGGATGAAATCAATGTTTTGGTATGTGGCTTTGTCTAGAGGGAGTGGGCGGCTGAGTTTATCCATCTTTTCCTTTCCAGGTTTTGTTGGGTTGTTCTGTAGTGCATAGTGTAGTCAGAGAAGCTGCCCAGAGTCCTACTCCCATCTGACAATAGGAAGGAGCATTCTCTTGTCTCTTTTTCTCGCTTTCATTCAAAAAAGAGAAGAAAAGAAACCCAGACATTGTGAGCTAAAGGGTCCCAGGTTGGTGGGAATGAACAATCTGAGTACATCTTCTATTGGCACTCCTAGGCTTTCTTAATCCCCATGTTATACACAAATTCTCTCCTAGATGCTGATGGGGAGTCTCTCCAGTCCTTGTTTTCAGAGTGGGACAATCCTGTATTTGCTCGCTGCCCAGAGGTGGGTATTTTTATGTTCTAGTGTTTCAGTGGGAGCCATTTCAATCTTCTGTTATGTTGATTTTTTTAATTGAAATGGCAAATACCATAACTGTTGTGTATATTTATTCTGTTGTACATATAACAAGGGGCTTGTCTGTGGTACATTTTTATAGATTGTTTATATGTGAGTTCATTTTGTGGGTTTATGCAAATTGGAAGTGATTGATATTACAGCTGATCTTAAAGAATACTGTACCTCGTGTTATTTGGAAACCAAAGTGTTATTGTGGGCTGTGTCTACAATGCAAAAATAATCAACTTGACTTAGGATAAAATTCTGTCCCTTGCAATACTCCCCTCCCCCTTGTATGTATTATATGGGTTATTTAAATACGTTTGTAGCATTGGCAGGACCATAATGTGTGAGGAAGAAACAATGTTGCACCCTATATCTGTGGAGCTTTTAGAGCGATTTCCTTTATAGTCACAGGGAAATATCTTTAATCAATGTGAGTAAGTGTACAATTTCAGTCAGGATGTGCAGTATGCATACAAATATTTCCACTTGTGTACAATAGAGATGCAGGAGCAAACCACCTGCTGGTGAGTTTCTGAAGGGGAACAATTATTTGGAACATTTGCTGTAGTAACAGTCATTTTGAGATGATACATCTTCCTGGATGTTCAGCTGGTTGAGTGTGTACATGTCGGCTGACAACTAATGTCAGATTGTCTAATGAAATAGCTCTTAGTGTGTGGGAAAGTGCTGAGAGAGAAGCAGAGGGATTACCAGATGGTATTTTGAGCTAGTTCTCTTCTTGTTAGAGGAACCAATGCACTAAGTACAAAGGGAGCCCTTTCCAGAATAGCCTTATTCAAAGCTGGCAGTTCGATTTTGTGGTTTTAAACTCAGTAGTTAAATCTGCATCCTGTAAATTATCTGTATTGATCTTTTTCACAGGTTGCTGTTGATGTGAGCAGTGGCCAGGCTGGGAGTCTGGCTGTGAAAATTCATAATATCTTATATCCCTATCGTTTCACCAAGGAGATGATTAATTCAATGCAGGTATAATAAGTCAGATAGCAGCTTTGTGTAAACACCATGTTTCAACTGCTACTAGCCAAATAGTATTTGTCAATGTTTCTGCTTGGTGAAAAAGACGTTGGGAATTAAATAGATAATACTTTTAAATTTGCAAAGAAAAGCATAATTGGTTTGTGAGAGAGACACCAACAGATATATGCATCTCAAAACCATCTCTTAGATGATTGTAAACAGTTACCTACAGAGTGGTTCCCAACTTTCTTGAGTTTAAAGCTAGTCAAGTCAAGAAGTAGCCCTGCTATCACTGCCTTGTAACTTACAGCACTATCGTTGGCACTTCACTACATAACATTTTGATAGGCAGTTGTAGTTGTAGCTATTTGGTTAATTCCGATTCTTTGACATACATTTTCAAAAGAGATTTGCTGAAGAAATTCTGACCTTCAGCTGAGCAGTTTCAATAGCAATCCCAAAGCTCATGTAAGGATTTTTACATTTATTTTAAAGTGTGGTTCTGCTCTGAAAAGTGACTCTAAAAATGGTGCAGTAAATATGAAACCCAGTTGTATCTTAGTGCTTCTGTATCAAATGTTTTGCTCATACGTTTTAAAATTAATATAAATATGCTGCCAACTTTGCACTTTTACCTTTGGGCTCTGAGAGCCAATCTGGGTTCTTTTCTTCTCTCAAATCTAATCTAATGCAAGTTCTGCAGGCCAAACTATATTCTTTACATCCATGCAGTCACATTGCTTCATGTGGTTTTGTAGAGGTATAAGTGGTTGGGACTTAGTAAAAAGATAGTATTGATGCACAAGGTGAACTAGAATCCAGTCCATTTTCTCTTAGTTGTTACCTCTGTAAGGCTAATGGGAGTAAAACATTTGTCACTAATGGCAACAGGTTTGTCTGAAACACCGGGGAAGAGATCTAGAGACCTGAGGGTTTCATTTTTACATTAACTTTTTCAGGTGGAACTGCACTTTAACTCATCCAGTGGTTCCAATATTAACTATTGGTGGGGAGAGGAGTTTTTCTTTCTAAAGTTTTGTATGTTTCCCTTCTAAAAATGGTTTTGCCAATGGATAATGAACATTTTGAATATGTTACAGGTTCTTCACCAAGTGGACAATAAATTTATTGCTTGTTTAATCAACACTAGGAGTGAAGTGAATGCAAATGCAGGTAAGAATGCCCATTAGTATTGATTAGGTTGAGCTAGCCCTCATGTAGTTTCAGTACAGATAGGACACTGTCCTGGCATTCTGAAACATGTTCAGAAGATGTAATTTTTTTCAGGGATGTATTCTTTTGGTCTGATAGTTCTGTGATGCTAAATGCAAAATAACAATGCAAAATCTCTGTTTCAGTAATATTAAGGCTCTAACTTGGATCTGACAAAAGCCAGGAAACCAAAAGCAAATGCCAGGACTGTGTCTTTATCTTCTGCTGTTGCGAGACAGGAGAAAAAGGCATGTTATGAATTAAGGAGAGTGTTGGCCTTCACTTGGAATTTCCTAGATTTTTCTCTCTCTCTGTTTTGGAGATTGCTAAAGGACTTTGTTCATGGTGCTCCTTAGATGCTGTGGTGATTAGTGCTGCTATAGATAAACACATATTTCACATTACCAAAAGGTATTGGACTTCATTTTCAGTTAATGGATGCATTTCATCTTTTGTATTGAAACTAGCTTGAGCTACACAAAAATGCTCTCCAAACCAGTAGCTTCTTGTTTTTTATCTAATCTGCATAATAAAATTGAACAGATTGTAGTTGACCTCATCTTTAATACAGAGGGAGTAGGAATTTGGCTGGTGACATCATCATACATACAACTCCTTGAACTTCATTCTGGCCACCCCAGGTTTAAATGACTCATCTGGAGCCTCACATTTCATTTCTGCATTATTTTATTTTTTGTTAACCTAGCTTCCTCCTGAACTTGGCTCTGTTAAATAGACTGATCCCCAGCTGCTAAATCTGACCTTGGTGAGACATGGGCAACGCTCCTTCCTTCTCCCAACATGTGCAGTTGTTTGAAATGAAGGTGCCTGTTGTTAACCTCCTCCCTTACACTTCTAGATGGAAATCTGCTGGTGTTGGTGGATCAGCATGCAGCCCATGAGCGTATCCGCTTGGAGCAACTTATTGCAGGTGAGGATTCAGATGTCCAAAGAAAGCTCTTCACCATCCTAGCAAAGTGCAACTGAGAACAGTCTCCAGGGAGAAAGTCACCTTAGGCGCTGACTCCATGGGTTCTCCAGCCCTGGAGCACCCAAAGGGAAAATTTGGTGGGGGCAGAGCACCCACCGGCAGCTCCCTGCCCCAGCCCCGGCCCCAGCTCACCTCCACTCCGCGTCCACCTCTTCCCCTGAACGCGCCGCCCTGCTCTGCTTCTCCGCCCCCGTCCCCCCCCGGGCTTCCCGCAAATCAGCTGTTAGCGTGGGAAGCCGGAGCAGGCTGAGAAGCAGGCGGCAGCTTCGCACTCAGGCCCAGGGAGGCGGAGGTGAGCTGGGGCGGGGGGGGCGCAAGGAGGGCCACCTGCGCCACAGCAGGTAACCTGGGGGTGGGGGAGTGTGCGCAGGGGAACCGCTCCCCGCCCCAGCTCACCTCCGCCACCCTCGGCCTGAACGGGAAGCCACTGCCCACTTCTCAGCCCTCCCAGGCTTCCTGCCAAACAGCTGATTCGCGGGAAGCCAGGGTAAGGGGGGAACGCGGAGAAGCGGAGCGGGGCAGTGCGTTCAGGGGAGGAGGCGGAGCAGAGGTGAGCTGGGGCTGGGTGGGGAGCTGCCAGTGGGTGCTCTGCACCCACCAAATTTTCCCCGTGGGTGCTCCAGCCCTGGAGCACCCACAGAGTCGGCACCTAAGGCGCCACTTTTGATGTGATCAGTGGGGGGAGTGGCCACTCCGCCCTGCTCCCCCCCCCTAGCTACACTCCCCCACCCCTAGGAGCCAGAGGGACCTGCCGGATGCTTCCTAGGAGGTGCCCCAGGTAAGCACTTCCGGGACTCCCCACATCGTCCCCCAGCAGGTCCCTCTGGCTCTTAGGGGTGGCGTGGGCACCCACTACGGTGACCCACGAGACCCTCCTGCCTGGTTCTGGGGGCAGTCAGGGGACAGGGGAGGGGGTGGATGGGGCAGGAGTCTTGGGGGGCGGGGCGTCAAGGAATGCAGGGGGTTGGATGGGGCAGGAGTCCCGGAGGGCGGGGGTGGGCAACAACCCCCTCGTGGGGTGAGGAGGGAACCAGTTGTTAAGATTTTGGCAGCTCATCACTGGGCGTACAGGCATCTGGTAGTACTGGCACCCAAAGGAGTACTAGGTGCCTTTCAAAACAGATAGAATGATCCATGCCCCAAGGAGCTTTCAGATTGAAATAGGTCTGGTGTAATGGGGGGCTAACAAGACAGGCAGGATGAATAAAATTAGGAAAATGGGGGTAATGTCAATAAGATTATGAGGTTTAGCAGTGTGGACTAACGGATGGGATAATGGAATAAAGAGCCTGGGTTGTTTTTGTTTGTTTAACTAAACACAATGATCAGAAGAGAAACCTAAAATTCACCACATTTAGTCACCTGAAACTGTATGCAGAGGAATAAAAGTCTTTTCTCTTGTTCGGCCTAATTTTGGTTATAGATCTGTAAAACACAGTGCCCATCCATTGAGCACTTAAAAGATCACTGGCCTTCTCTTTCATCAAAAAGGGCTATGCAGTCCCTGCAAACAGGATTCCAGGAAAGAAACATTGCTCCTTTTGGCTTACTGGTGAAAACAGCTAAAGACTGAGAGCCCCTCTGGGATTGAGGGAAATGGCTAATGAATGGTATTCAAATGGAGACTGTGTGTCAGGGCCCAGACTTAGGTAGCCCGTATCTAGTGGTTAGCAGCTTGGTTCAGGAGGTTCTTGTCCTAGGTTATGGGGCATCAGACAGGCACTAGGTTGAACTAATCCAGACAAGATCAGACACTATTAGGATCACCAGGACTCAGGCCAAGGTCAGGATACTGGTAATCACGCAGATCAGAGTCTATAAAGCTGGGTGAGGCATCCAAACAGCAGCCACATAGAGCCCAGTTGTGCAAACATCTTCCTGTGCCTCTCTTTGTATTTACATAGAAGCCCTGGCCAATCAGAAGTACTGGTGTTCCTCCAGTCAAAGCCCAAGGGAAACCTTCCTGATGTAACTTCAGGCTTCATTATTTCTCTGCTGGGTTGGTTAGTAACAAGCCACTGGGTGAGAGCAGGGAGGCATCAACTGACCAGGAAACCTGCAGACCCAGCAAGGTTTGAGACCTGCAGGGTCATGACACAATGCACTTATTTTAGATGTTTCAATTCAGTTCAATTCAAGTGGCCATTCCATGAGTTGAGCTAACTCTTGTAATAACCTTTGCTATGTAGGATAACTCCTTTTTAACACTGAGGGGGGATCCAAGTATGGAATTAATCATACTCCCTAGACAATGATTGTCTTTTCCATGACTATCGCTGTGCCCCATGAGTCCCAGAAGGAAGAGTCCTGTGGTCGCGTCTTAATTCAAGCACGAAGGTCTACATGCCAAGCCATAGGGCCATTGAGGATAAAGCCTGCATGTACATTTTAAGAACAGGTTTCAGAGTAGCTTTTTCTTCGCAGAAAGAAAAGGAGTACTTGTGGCAAAAGGTTCCCCCCCTCGTCCCCCCCCACCGTGCTCTCCTGCTAGTAATATCTCACCTTAAGTGATCACTCTCATTACAGTGTGTATGGTAACACCCATTGTTTCATGTTCTCTATGTATATAAATCTTTCCACTGAATGCATCCGATGAAGTGAGCTGTAGCTCACGAAAGCTTACGCTCAAATAAATTGGTTAGTCTCTAAGGTGCCACAAGTACTCATTTTAAGAACAGTATTTGTAATTTTTCTACCCACAGATTCCTATGAGAAGCAGCGTGAAGAATCTGGCAAGAAGAAATTGCTGTCCTCCACCATCTGTCCCCCACTGGAGATTGAGGTAACAGAGGAGCAGAGAAGACTCTTACGGTTAGTAATGGTTGATGGCTCCAATATCTTGGGTGGGATTCCAGTGAATAGGAGAATGTAATTTCTGTGTGCTGTTTTAGATACCACAGCCATTACTGGAGTTGCTTTCATTCTGCTTTGGGTGCACACTGAGTGAGTTCCAATAACTATAGTGTGAGGAGAAGAGAATAGAGGGGTATGGGAAGTTTGTATGATGAATTGTTAGAAAAGAAGAGTCTCTCTGCCCTTGGGTGTCAGAAACCAAAATCACTACATGGAATAAGAAGTGAACATCGTCTCTCAAATGTTTTGGAATAGGGGATTGGCTACTGTCAGGAATTCTTCCGTCCCATACAAGAATTTTTATTAGCTGCAGATTTGGTTTTGAGTAGTTACATTTATCTAGCAGAGGTTTATTCCGAAATCTCAGCTCTCGCTCTGAGCAGGAACTCAAGTGGGGTGGGTATTTACAGTTACAAGGTGTTCTCTCCTTTTGTGCTCAGAGTAGGCTTGTTTGGTAATGGGTACTTTTCTGCCCTTCTTGTGTGGACTCATTAGAAACATAGGAATATCTGTACTAGATCATATTGGTAGTCCATCCAATTCAGCATTCTCCCTGACAGTGGCCAGTGCCAAATGCTTCAGAGGCAGGTGCAAGAAATTACTTAATGGATAACCATGGCATAACCTGTCCATAGAGGAAGATTAAGAAAGAGGGTAAATAGGAGCACCCGATTTACTTTCTTTTTCCCTGTTCATTATTTTGTATGCCTCTGCCATCTCCTCTCTAAACAGTCCTAATATTCTTAATCTTTCTTCATAGGGAAGTCTTTCTGGACCATTAATAATTTTTGTCACCCATCTCTGAATCTCTTCTATTTCTTTTCTATATTCTTTGAGGTAGGGTGACCAGAACTGAACATACTATTCCAGGTGAGGATATCACATCGATTTATACAATGACATTGTGACGGGTTCCCCAGGGTGCAACCTGGAACTGAGGTACCACTGAGTCCTCTGTCTCACCAACCTGGGCTCCCTCTCACACTGTGATGCTGTGGCAAGCTGCAAACTCCTCCTACTGTACTTGCACAGACATCCCCAGGCAGGGAGACATCCAACTGAGTTACATGAATGCCTTCACCAGTCACTCATGAACCAACAATAGAGAGGCTCCAGCCATTTCCCCACAGCTCCCCAGCCTAAGACCCCAGAACTGTACCGCCTTGCCCTGGTCAGAAGCCTGACCAGTGCAAGTGTGTTCCCCAGTCCGCCTCTCCGTCAGTGTGGAGAGGGAATGCACCAGCTCTTGTTTCTGAGCAGATTTCCCAAACACTTCAAGCAAAACCCACTGGTTTAGGTAAAATATAAAACAGATTTATTAACTACAGAAAGATAGATTTTAAGTGATTATAAGTAGTAAAAAATAAATGGACATATATCTGACATCAGGAATTATAACATTCAAAAACCAGTAGAACACTTCAATCTCCCTGGTCACTCACTGACAGACTTAAAAGTGACAATTCTTCAACAAAAAAAACTTCAAAAACAGACTTCAGCGTGAAACTGCAGAACTGGAATTAACTTGCAAACTGGACACCATCAAATTAGGCCTGAATAAAGACTGGGGGTGGATGGGTCATTACAAAAACTAATTTCCCCATACCGTTACTCCCACCTTCTTGTCAACTGTTTGCAATGGGCCACCATCATTACCACTACAAAAGTAATTTTTCCTCCCTTGGTATTCTACTATTAATTGAATTGTCTCATTAGTTAGACTGACCCCCCGCTTGGTAAGGCAACTCCCATCTTTTCATGTACTATGTATATATACCTGCTACTGTATTTTCCACTCCATGCATCTGATGAAGTGGGTTCTAGCCCATGAAAGCTTATGCCCAAATAGAATTTGTTAGTCTCTAAGGTGCCACAAGGACTCCTTGTTGTTTTTGCTGATACAGACTAACACAGCTACCATTCTGAAAACAGACCAAAGTTGGTCACCTAAAAAATAAAAGTAGGATCGCAATCTGAGTTCTGTAGACTAGACAGGATTTGAATCAAGAAGCGTCTCATCCTGACAGTACGGTTCCTTAATACACAAAGCTGGGATTCTCCTTCCCAGTCTGGAACCATCTCCCCAATTCAAAATCTTTGTTCTCCAGGCATGTTTCCAGGTGTTGAGTTGTGGGGGGAGTGAGGCCAAGCGATGATGTCACTTCCCTCTTTTATAGCTTATTCCAGCTTGCTGAAAAGATCTTTTGCTGAGTCAAGCAGTGTCCATTGTCTATGTGCTATCTCTGAGAAGTCTCCATTGTATATGGTTCCTGGGATAGTCCTTGTGAGTGTGTATTCCCCTTAATGGGCCATCATCAATATCTGGCTGTTCCTTTGTTTTATCTGAAAGGCTGGTTGTTCCCAACCTTGCAACATATTTCAGTAACACACATATAGCAAATTTCATAACTTCACATACAATTATAGCTCATACAATCCAACAGGATATTAATGTTCAACAGATCAAGACTTTTAAAATGATACCTCAGAAGGCATACTTTGTACAAAACATATCATAATCATATAACCGTGGTAAATATGGGGGTGCCAGGGTGTTGCTTTGGGGTACAGAATGTCACAGACATTACAATATTTCCATATTATTTTCTCTCATACTTTTTACACCCTACCATTTTGTGTGCTTTTTTGGCTGCCTCTACACATTGAGCAGTTACAATGACATCCTGGTCTTTTTCCTTAGTGGTTGCAATTAATTTAACAAAGTATTTGAATATATCAAATTATTGTTCCTAAGGTGTGTGCATTTGTCATTTGAATGTCACCTCCCATAATGCTGCCCATTTTCCTCTGAAGTTCCACACAGTCTGTTCTAGTCCCAACTAATTTAAATAATTTTGTATCTTATGAAGATTTGGCTACTTATCTTTTTTTTCCAGTTCATTAATAAAATGTTTGTTCTAGTGCAAACTTGTGTCAAATTAAAAACTGAGTTTTTATTAATATGCTGTTTTTTTCTGTCTTTGTCTTTTTCTAACCCATGACAAAACTTTGTCTCACCCCATAGCCACTTAATATGTTTTTAGCCTTTTGTGAGGGACTGTCAAAGACTTTTGGAAAGCCCATATAAATTCTGTCAACCAGTTTTATTTTATCTACTATTTTGCTTACATGCTTAAAGAATTGTAGTAGATTAGAGAGGCACAGTTTTCTTTTGTGGAAGCCCTACTTGTTTTTTCCCATCATATGATCATCTTGGAGTTGTACAATTCTGTTTTTTGGTATATCTGGTAAGACTCAGTTCTGTGATTCTCAGGATCATCCCTAGCATCTTTTTTTAAGGATAAGTAAGCTTCTTGCTGCCTACCATTCCACTGCTATAATAGCTCATTATAATGAGCACATATTTTTGCGTATTTCAGCCATTTGATTCGTAAGCTCCTGCAGAACTCTTGGGTGTATGCTGTCTGATACCAGTGACTTGTTGCTCTTTAATTTATTAGCTTGTTTCAGTAACTCCTCTCTTGGCATCTCAAGCATTTTTATTACTTGAAAAGAGTAGGTCTGGGGTAGATATCTCAGAACACTCTGTGGTGAAGACTGATGCAAGGAAATCCTTAAACTTCCTGCAAATATCGTTATCTCCTCACTTGTTCTCATTACTACCTGGTAGTCTTTCCATTCTCTGCCTGGACTGTACCACTTCCCCAGTGGCTGGTAGGGGAATCCGGGCCTGCCCTCTATTCTGGGTTCCAGGTCAGGGACCCTCTAATCAACAGCCAAGGTCTACAACATCCCACCTTGCTACTATTTCCCTGAGCCTTGTCCTACTCTGCATCTCTCAGGCTTACTCCACCACCCTTCTGGATAAACTCTTCCTTCAGAGCGTGGATCCCCAGGGTTTCTACTATCTCCCTGGGTTTCCTCTTTTCCCTCTCTAATGCCTAGGGAGTGACTGCAGGCTTCCTCACTGCAACCCTTTTTTGCTACCAACTTCCTACCTTTATACTAGCACCACCTGTTCCCTCTTAGTAGGGCTCCATCATCAATCAGGCATTGCTTAAGGCTTGTCTACACTTAAAACACTGCAGCAGCGCTGCTGTAGCATTCCAGTGAAGATGCTAGCTATGCCGATGGGAGGGCTTCTCCCATCACTGTAGCTACTTCATCTCCCCGAGAGATGATACCTAGATTGATGGGAGAATTCTTCTTTCGACTTAGCAGCGTCTACACAGGGAATTAGGTCCTTTTTAACTATATCATTCAGAGGTGTGGATTTTTCACACCCCTGAGCAACATAGTTATATTGATCTAATTTCCTGGTGTAGCCCAGGCCTTAGCAAACCTAATTTCCCTCAGGCATGGCCTATCAGGTTAAATGTCTCTTCTCAGCCTCATTAACCCTTTCCAGGCTAGTGTGGGGGTGAATACCCCATCATAATATTGCATTGCATGTATATAATATATTGTGGTCACTGTTACCTGAACTTCCTGTGTGTATCTTAAGAAAAGAGACCTGCAGACATGGGGAAAAGTGTACAGCTTCCTATTGTGCAGTAAAGCGAACTCCTGGGGTCTCAGAACCATGGAGCCAGCATTCTGCACAAATTTAATGGAGAGAAATGTGGACTGAAAGAGAAGCATTGCTGGGAAATCCTGAGATGCCATTATATGGGTGGAGGAGATGGGAAGCTTCTGTGTGGGGAGTGCAGAAGTGTCCAGCTCTGTGACTGATCCTGTAGGTGTGTGGAAGAGGGTGCTTCAGTTTCTCATTTCTGAGGTTTTCTTCTCAGGTGCTGCCACAAAAGCCTGGAGGAAGTAGGCCTTGAATTATCATTTCCAGAGAACAACAGCTCCCAGATTCTAGTTGGGAAAGTCCCCCTGTGTTTTATGGAGAGAGAGGCCAATGAATTACGACGGAAAAGACAGCCTGTGGCTAAAAGCATTGTGGAGGTTAGTCCTGGATGTGGAACTTGAGCAAATTACTTTGTGATGGTGTCATTCTGCTCTATATTAATGATGCAGGGTGTTGGAAGAGTGGCTTCTAAGTGAGAAAGCTAAAGAGAATCCTTGCTATGCTTTCAGTAGAACTATTTATCCATGTCCGCTGGCCTCAGGACTGCTTCTTTGCTGGTGTACTTTTCATCTTCAGTGAGAAAGTAACTCCTCTTGAAAACGAAAGGAGCATGACTTACTAATACTGTTCTGTCCATGTGGGATAAAAGAGAGCAAAGATTTACTTATTAATTGCATAAGAGGCTACATGGTTGGATGGAGAGACTATTATTTTAAGTTTAATACAACTAAAATGAGACTCCCTAGGACAGAGGCCAGTGTTCAGCAGTGTAGGCGACAAGGTTGGCTAAGAGGTGTCCTGCTATTTCTGGTGAAGAGGAGTGAGCCACCAGCCTCTCTCCCCTAGGTCTGTGTGGCAGCAGAATTGATAACACATGTACCTTAGACAGAGAGGCAATGTTGATAGAGCACTAGACTGGGACTCAGGAGAGCTCAGTTCTATTCCCAGTTTGGTCCTGGCCTGCTGGCATGTGACCCAGGGCAAGTCACCTCACCTCTTTCTGCCTCAATTTTCTTGTAATAATAATGATGTTCCTTTGTAAAGCACTTTGAGATCTACTAAAAAAAGCACTAGATTATAATTTATTATTATTGAGCACAATTAGTGTTAGGCAGTGATGTTTGTTTTCTTTTAGTCCCATAACTAGGCTAACTATAAGTCTATAACTGACATAATTAGGGATGATTGCAGATTTCGGGAAGTGGATGAAATAAAAATTATAGTGGGTGAGCTGCAAGGAGGATTGCATTTAAAGACAAGAACAAATTAAAATATTATTGTTTTAAAGACTCTCTTGCTCCAGTTGTATCTGTGTGGCTTTCGGTTGCACCTGGGAGGAGTTTGAACTTTGAAATTCCTTAGAAAATGTTGGTGGCATGAAACAATACCTGCAATCAGGAATCAGATTTGAAAAATATAAGTGGCAGTAATCTCTCGTATTCTGCTCACAACTCAAGCTCCATCCATTCATGATGCCAAAATCATATACCTCTTATCGTAAATCATTCATAATTTGACTGCCCCTCTTTCTTGAGTGCTTTGATCAACAGTGGCATAGTTAACAAGACTGATATTTAAATGCCATCATTAGGTGTCAGAGTTGTCTTCTCCTATAAACAAATAGGGGCAGTTCATCCCTCTCAGAGCTATTGTTTCAGGCTTTCTGAAAACTGAGGCAGAAATTGCTGCATCAGTTGCTTGCAGTTCACATTTTGAAGATTTTCTTCACACCCATAAGTATTAGAGTATAAGTATTTTTAAATAAAAGCACAATATAATAACAAGATGCAGCCACCAGGCTGAGCCATTGTAAGCCATTCCAATCCTACTCCTGTTTGCAATATGTTTCTCTTTTGTTCATGTGTAAGAGTTTATATACAGGGAAAGTGCCCTTTTCAAGGGGTGATACTGCTGATCTCTTGGGGCAAAAAAACAGGTTGTGAAATGCTGTTGGCTTAAAAAATTGACCCATTTCCTTGTACTTAATGTGTGAAACTTGTAGACCTTAAGCTACAAGACAAGTGTTATAACCACCCCAATACAGACCTGCTTGGATTTGACTCATTGAAGAGAGCCCTTTTTTGAGCAAATATTTGGTTTTATGGTGTTTGCTCTTATTCCCCATTATGTCATCTGCTGAATGATATTAGCAGTATGAACAAACATGCTTACTTAGGAAGCAGGGTGGATAAAAATCAATTTTATTTAAAGTAAAAAATAATCTGATATTTAAAATTTAAATTAAATACAGTTTGTTTATTTAAATAAACCTATTTAAAATTAAATTTGAAACTGACAATATATGTTAAGGCCCAAAGTTATTATAATCTATTAAAGTCATTTAAATTAAATTTAAAAAATAATGAGTACATTTTTGCTCCGAAGTACAGTATTAAAGAAAGTCAAACTACTAAACTAGTGGATGTCTCTGGCTAAGCAACTTGAACCAGAATTTGTTGGAGTGCAAAACCAGCTGTTGACAGTAGTAGCCTCTTCTGCAGGTGAAGAGAGAATATTTTTTTATTTCAGTTTATTCAACTAGTTCAGTTCAGTGATTAGTTAATTCAGAGTTAAGAAACCAGATGGGACTTGAAAAATCAGGAAAGCTTTTCCTCCAATCTATGAATAAAAACTAGGTGTGAGAGGATGAGATCTACTAGTTATAACATCTTGAAGGACGTGATGACCAGAAACAATCAGATCAGTTGACTAACTACAGATAATGCTTCCTTTGTTTAATAAATCAGTTAGTTTTAAATTTAAAACATGTTTTGCTAAACTTTATGCTAAATATTTTTCTTTCATTTGTATCCTGCACATTTAAAATAGTTTTATTTTAAAAATAAAATTCTATTTTTTGTATTTTTAAATGCATTTGAATTTCCATCCAAATAGAGATTGGCACAAATCACATGTAAAAACATAATAATAATCTAGTAAATAAGAAATGCATAATTCACCAATTTCTAACGTAGTAAAATATGTAAAAGTTAAGAATCTTAATAAATCTAAGTTAAGCTATATAATTACTTAAATAAATGTGTCTAGATATACTGTATCCTCCTGGGTAGCAAAAACTAAAAGATGCTCCAAATTTAGTGTAAAGGCTATCTTTAGTTGCAATTCAACTTGGTTTTGTGGTTACCAACCAATGAAACCAACTTTTCTTTAGGAAAATAAATTATTTGAATGTTTTAAATCAGCATTTTCTGCTTGCTGATTTAAATTGCGATTAAAATCAGTAATTTAAATTACTTTGTTTTAAATCAATCCACCCTGTTAGAAAACAGCATCTTCTGACACATCAGGTTCATTCTTTTTCGAGTGATTCTCCTCATGTATTCCACTTCCAGCGCTCATGTGACCCATGCATATGGGGTCTGACTCTTTTGGCTAGCAATGTCCATGAGGGCCATGCCTGTGCCCTGGATGTCCTCATGCCTCTCTTCCCTCTTCTCCCCTTATCCACCGCCAGAGATAAAGGACAGAGTAGGCCCAGCTGTCCCTCAGCTCCTTCTTACTGCCCGTGGCTGCAAGACAGAACCCCTGCAGAATCTGCTTCTCTGCACACTGTGTGACTTTACTGATCATGTGTGTAATTATATATATAGAGAGAGAAAGAGAGTAATATTTGTATAGTTAGCGTAGTGTCTTTTTTACACTTAGTGGCTATATATAACAAACAAACAAAACCCTCTTATTAAAGTTAGGGACTTCCCCAGTACCAGGATTTAATTGCTGTGATAGAAAGGAAGTCCCAAGGGTTCAAAACTTGCTCCTCCTATGATTCAGCTAGTCCGCTTAATGATTCGCACTCAAGGTGATAGATGCTCAATCTGTTGCTCCTTCTCCAAGAGGACACAGAAGGTGAGAAAGGTCCACCTTAAACATTTTTTCCTGAAGCTCTCAGATAGCGCCTCCTTAGAACTGGAGAGAAAAGGGCCTCTCTGGCCTGAACAGGCTTCCTCAGTCAATGCTTCAGTTTTCTGAATACAGTAGGAAGGAATATCTTTCCCACAGCAAGCACAGACCTCAAATACCCTTCTTGGGACCTAGTAAAAGGAAGCATAGATCTCCTCAGACTATTAAGACAAAGGGTAGTTCATGGTCCAAATTAGGTTTCTCTGACACCCTGATAAAACCCAGTTGCTGAGCACACATGGTACTGTCTCAGGCAGTGGTCTGCATTTCACCCGGTACTGACTCTCGATGCATGAGATGTCAATGACCTGTCACCTCTGAATCTGCTACTGACCCCTATAGTACAGATGCTCCCAGCACTGACTTTCTTGGCACTGAAGTTATTTGTGGTGTCACGTGATCTTGCAGTGATCATGAAGCCTGAGTCACCATAGTATTCTCAGCTGTAAGAGTGCCCTCTGTATTTTGGTATTGACTACCAGTATTGCTACAGTACCAGTCAACTCTTCAGCTGCAGTGGTGGGGAAGACTCAAGCTCACCCCAAAACTCTGGTTAGGGTAGAGGAGGAGTACTCATTTTCTTTCTCCCCTTTTGAGCATAGTAGGGAGGGTATCCCCCAGCCACTCTTCTCTTTTCTATTCATATGACCTTTGCTGGTCTAACAGGGAATCTAGAAGTTGTAGATGTACACCTATGGGATCTCAGGGAGAGCACTCACCTTGATATCCAACCCCATGGCCCCCAGCCTCTTACTCCTACAATGTGCAATCTTGGGCCCTTTGGGGTATGCAACCAGCAAGAAAAACTATCTCCACTACCCCTTGTAGACTTAGATCTCATTCCCGTATGAAACTTCATAGAGTGCTCAAGGGGCGCTGATGGTACAGACTCACAGTATAGCACAGGAAGATGAGGAAGAACACCTGCAGACAGTAGAGCACTTGATCCCAGCAGTGGTCTAGTCTTCCTTACCAGATTAGGCAGTAGGTCCCTCCACTTCCACTCAGCCGTATGATTGGGAAACATTTCAGTAACTGCTGCATTACATATTGGAAATCTCCATGGAGGTAGAGCAGGAAGACTCACACAAGCTACTGGATATTTTGTACTCTTGCTTGCCTGAAAGGCGTGCCATGCCAATTAATGAGGGGCTGTTGGAGCCAGCAAAAAAATTATAGTAGACCCAATCATCTGTGGCACCTACTTCTAAAAAGGCAGATAGGTACTGTCAAGTCTGTCATAACATTGGACAGATGGTGCTAGAGATCATCACCCCTGGCTACCCTATATATTTCTACTCCTTGCCCCCTGCGCTACCTTCCCCATCCCTCTTCGGGAATCCTTCTCATGAGAGCCTATTACAAGCAGAATTGGCCTTATTGCTTCATGTAGGAGCCATAGAGCAAGGGCCCTCAGAATTCAGGGGAAGAGGCTTCTACTCTGTTTTTTCTCATT